ATTTAGGTAATTATCAATACTGTTAATTTAGGTCAGCTGTGGCATTTACCTTACATTGGTTGTTAGTCTAATAAATGTATTACGTACCATACATATAAGATTGAACTGATATTGAAGATAATTTTTTAAAATCTGACGTGATCTCTTTGTGCTACCCAGATCGTATAATAAGGGAAAGTAAGAAGGTATTTGAGGATGTTGTGGAGGACTTTCATTCTCTTGACTACATCAAATCCCACTTCGAAGTGTGGAGGAAGGAGTATGCCAACACCTACAGAGATGCTTACATAGGCCTCTGTCTGCCCAAACTCTTTAACCCCTTAGTCCGTCTGCAGCTGATTACATGGAACCCTCTCGAGGTAGGGCATGGGTGTATTATCAGTGTAACCAGTTCCTTTTTGAAAGGAAATTGGATGAGGAATAGTGATGGAATCTTTTTTTTCTCTATTCACTGTGCAGGCGCAGTGTGCAAACTTTGAGTACATGCTCTGGTTTGAGTCGCTGCTGTTTTACGGCTTCGAAGAGAACAGCACGTTGCAAAAAGGAGATGGCGACATCGGCTTGCTGCCTGCTATAGTGGAGAAGGTCATCCTCTCCAAACTATCAGGTTTGAGGCATAGCATGCTCAGAGATGTCCTTGGCTTGCAAGCCTGTAGAAAATTTCTCCTACTATATGCATTTCTCTCTACTTTGTGTATGTGGCAGTGTTGGCAGAGCAGGTGTGGGACCCACTTTCCAGCAGTCAAACAACCAGGTTTGTGAGCTTCATTCACAGACTGCTAAAAGGCTATCCCACTGTGCTGCACGGGGACAACCGATACACACAGGTACTCCCCACCCTCATCATCTTTTTCCTCAAAATACATTGGCTGTTAGATTACCTGATCTTTTTAGAAGAACTGCTGTCATTACCTTGATTTCCCCCCCCCCCTTCTTTTAGGAGCTATTGAAAACAATTGTCTTACGGACCAGGAGGACTCTGGATGAAGATGTCTTTCTTCCACTGTACCCCAAGAAGTATGTTCTTATTAATAACAATATTAACATTTGGATTCCACTTAGAATTTTTTCTATGTTTACAATAAGCACATAAAACTGCTTAAAGCAATCTCTCTTGCTTTTATTCAGCATCCTGGAGAACAAGAACAGTGGTCCCTACTTATTCTATCAGAGGCAGTTCTGGTCCTGTGTGAAGGTACGTGTGCAAATGTGTGTTCTTTTTGTTTTGTTTTTGTGTGTGTGTGTCTTTAAATTACTTCCTCCAGTCAGTTGCTGAACTGATAGCATCACATGAATAGCTTGCCTGATTGTTGGAGATTACACAATGAGATCTGTATAACTTGAAAAGCAGCTGCAGCGGGCTGATAATCAAAGTATCTTCACACTGATATTATGTACTTTTGTGTTGCTGCCTTTGAGTCCAGTCTAACTCTTGTCTCCTTCATGCTTAGCTGCTGGGCAACATCCTGCAGTGGGACGGTATCTTATCCACGTCCTCTCTGAAAGACTTGGCCTTGGACAGCACTCTCAACCGATATATCCTCTCTGCACTGCAGACCACAGATACATGGGAGGAAAATATTCAGAAGTGCCAAAAGGTAGATAAAATGTAATCACTTAGTAGGGGTGGATTTCATTCGATAGATAAATCAGATTAAACTGAGCATTGCAGATTTCTTTTACTTAACAAAATATCCTTTCATCCATCATGAACAGATATTATGTGTGAGAACATTGTATCGATATCACTACGTCTGTGTAGGTTCTCAGTCATCACTACTTCACTTGTTTTTGAGAAAAACTGAATTTAGAACTTTTCTCTGACCGTAGTTTTACTTGTGATATATAGTTTTAAATATAGAATAATATATAATATATATAATATAAGAATTAGTGACACAAATCTTTGGTCCTACCTATTAAATTTAGTTTAAAATGATATATTTTACAAACTGTAAAAATTACTGCTCACAAACTGTAAGGCAGTAATTTTAGTTTGCTCATGTGACAAACTGTGTGATACATCATTTTTTTCCCCACCTTGCATACTCGTTATTTACAACCATGTAAAATACAATAAGATTTGTTGGCTGAGATCATTCTGGTAAAGAGTGAGCATGCACAGACAAAATATTTTGGAGGGGTCTGTTGTACCTGTTTATGACTACATGGTCAGTTGCCATTTTTAAGTCACATGATTGTTAAAAACTAGCCCTTCTGCTGGGGTGTTAGATGTTAGTTAGTTATCTTTTTACCATTAGTGACTCGCTGAACATGATAACACAAAGCTATTGTTTAATTCGTTCTCGTGTGCTTCTCAGGTGGTGGAGTGCTTGCCATCGCACTGGTTTTCTGGATTGAAAGGCCAGCAGACGTTGCCTCAGTTGGAGCCATTCTGTCGCTACCTCACCCACCTGGCCAACTCAATCCACCGCAGCGCACTGGTCGGGTCTGATATTGAGCGGCGCACTTCAAAGTAAGGACCTCTACATGGCTTTGTATATACAACTTGGGGCCTTGAATTTACTAATAGCTATATCTGCAAGAATGGTATTGAATGTGCTTTAGAAACAATTGCATTGTCAGTGTTGTTTTATCATATTAACTCTTCCTTTTTCACAATGAGTGCTTTTAAGCTGTGTTGTGATGAGTATTTTTCGTAGTGCTCATAGTGCATGTCATGTCGTGTCTTACAACAGGGAGCAGGTCAAGGATGTTGTGAAGATGTTGGGCCAAATGAATGCCCTGGACCACATCATAGCTGTGGCAGCAGAGCATGGGATTAAAGACATCAAACCACTTTTAGAAGTCAAATCATAGAGGAGAAGCAACTTTCCATCCGGATTACAGATCACTAAATGGGGATTCCCAGAGAAGGGATGTGTCACCCAGCTTAATAACTCAACAACTGAGACCATGACTGAAAAAAAGAAGATCTTGTAAATATTGTAAATATTGTATAGAAAGGTGTGTTTATACTGATGCTGAAATTAGGCCTTGTATTGTCAGCTCAAAGAGACTGCTCACTGCTGGCAATATTTTAAATGTGTAGAAGTTCTTGACATGGATTATTTTTTGAGACTCTGATCCCTGAATGAACACTATTCACTCCGTACAGCAGACTCATCTTTGCCATACGAGCTAAAAGGTCAGATGCACGCAGGCAAAGAATGGTATCCAACTTTTGTTTCCTAACAGTCCAGATGTGATCTTTCTGTGATCCCTGCTTCATCCTGTTAGTATTCCTCACACCTCTCTGTTCAAATGCTCTTTAAGAATCTGAGGGCTTTGTTTTCAGCTTTGCAAGAATTCTGTTTTAGTAGTTTATTTGCCTGTGAATAAAATGAACATTTGAATGATTCTGTCTTGCTGCCATTAAGCAACAACTGTCCCTCACGATGTCGTGTTTTATGTAAGTATTATGATCATAAAGAAACAATCCAAACTTACACCCAGTGTTCTTCACCGTAGGGTTTTTAGAACTACAATATCTCTGTAAACTTGGGGAAAAATGGGTATCACTGATTTATTTAAAATGATAACATGGAAAACAACGTTTTCAAAAAATTACAAACTGCCAGTTTCTACACTCTTGGCAACTCTGTTTATGTGAAATGATACTTTGTTACTGACTTCAGCCAGCTGCCACATGTGGGATTTGGTGTCATCCAGTGCGATTTCAGCCAGGAGGCGATTGCGCAATAGTAAAGAGCGGGTGGGACAAGCTGTTTTTGCCTTTCTATCCCCTCCTCTAGCTCAACTACCTAAACATAGCCACTCAAGACCTAAATATATCTTTTCTACATTTAAAGACGAGACTTTCCTGACCAGCGTCGTGTGAGACAAGAGTTTGGGGCTTCTACAGTTTCCTCTTCTCGGGCCTCCCAGGGAAACTGTAAATACCTCTCCTCCTTATGCCCGTTAAGGTAAAGTACTGCTTACAATGGCTACGTAGCGACTGCATGAAAGTGATCGGGCACTTAACACTACTGTATAGCAGGCTTCACTGCTGTCCAAGTTAGTGTTAGGGATCTTTGAGGAAACGCATTTTCCTGTGTACATTTGAGTAAAGCGAATAGGGGGTCCATGCTGTAAAACACATGCTCTTTTCACTCGGACCCCCATTTTTACTGCTCGGTTGTCTGTGCTGCCGTCTTCTGCAGCGTGTCTGTGTGCAACTGTATCCTAGTTAAGGAAGCTTCTGTTAATTCTACATTAAGGGGGTACTTGTGATGCATCCTTTGAAGGTGCAATCACACAAAACGAACACGTGACTCTACAAGTTATCCAACGGTGGCCTGATGCATGCAAGGATTCTTGCCATGTAAGATCTGGAGCACCGTGCAGGATTTAAAACTGCTCTAAACCCAGGACTGAGTGGGACCTGAACCTGAACAATCAATCGGTGGTCTTTCTCTCGTCCTCGATCGACAACAGTAAGAGTAGAAATTAAAATCCCACCTCAGGCTGTATGTCACCGACGCCCCGATTTGACATTACTCCGATTTCCAGTTGTACAATAACCTTTTGTTTTCAGTATAGCTGTCCGGGAGTACATAGCTACTGAAAAGCTCATTTAAATTGCAATTTATGGACAAATTGCAGCAAGATTGTTGCTATCGCCAACCCCGTTTATTGACGAACTTCAGAGAGACAGCGTTTGATATTTTTGTAATTACTACAATAGTTACATTACTTATTTTCCCCAATTACTGTAGCAGACTTTTGGCTTGAGAGTCTGGGTTGTTTCCCCGTCTCTCTCTCTCTCACTCACACACACACACACACTCACACACACACTTTTATTTCGAAGTCTACACCCCCACCCCCCTTTCCCTCCCCTCACTATTTTCAGCAAAATGGCACCCACTGTCTAAAGGGTATGTATTTTATGAAAGAACCTCAAACTGACCTGTGGAAAACATTACTAACCCTGTCAACATGATGCATTAGAATAATTTAAAAAATGAAGCTGGTTCTTAAATTAGAGAAATCACAAGTTTATTGTTTTAATATTGTTCCACTTATTGGAACATACAATAAAGAATAAGTACTTCATACAACAACATGTCAGTGAAAATAAAGTAATTCATTGGAAAAACAAATTTTAAATGGTCTAAGCCCCCTGACTATTGCAATGATGGCAACAGATTGCTTTTAATTATGACTTCTTCTTATAAGGGATTGGTACATATAACCTACCAGGTCTATTTTTTTTTTTAATTTCTTTTTTTTTGTTTACTCCTGAGCAGAAATGTCTGTCTCCAGCATTTGTGCTCAGCCAGTGTCCCGTTGATCAGTCTCAATAAGGAAGATGTGATTAAAAGTGTGGATGCTGCAATCTCAAGAGTTCCATCTGGCACTCCTATGCAGCCTCTCAACATAGTCTTCCCCATTGTTCATCTTTCTCCACATAATTTGCTTAGGGATTGATACAGTATTCTGTGGTGAGCTATAATTGTCCTACATCCAACGCTTGTGCAAGATGGCTCAGCAGAACAATGGAATCCTTTTTATATCACAATGATCTTTCAGATTGGTCAGAGACTCTTACACACATTGTTTAATCAGTCATTAATTTTTTTTTTTAAGACTCTGGTTTGATTTGGTGAGTCTTGCTAAGGACTTCACTGTGGTCCAAGACTTTGTGCAGGGGTGCAGTGTTTGGCTGGAGGGTGAGGACGGCATTGCTAAGCAGAATGGGTGGTCCTAGAGTAAAGACAGTGGAGTTTAGTTGCAAGGCCAGAAGGATATTGCTGCAAGGATGGGTAGTCCTGCAGTAAAGGCAGTGATACCGCACTTGGGTGCCGTGCTGAGCTAGGGAGCAAAGTGTTTATTGTTGGGGAGGGTGTGTGGTCCTAAAGTAGAGGCAGTAGCACACAGCTGGATGATTGTGATGGTGAGGACAGATGGTCCTGAAGCAACAGCAGTGGTGTAACACGGGAAGGCAAGGATGATTTTGCTCAGCAAGGTGGGTTGTTCTGGAATAAGGGCTGTAGCGCATAGATGAAGGACAAGGATGATTTTGCAGAGGAGGACAGGTGGTCCTAGAGTGAGAATGGCGCCTCACTTGGATGCTGTGCTCAGCTAGAGGGCAAGGTTGGTTTTGCTGGGTAGGGTGGCTGGTCCTGGAGGATGGTTGCTGCAGAGACCTGCACACAGGTACCACCAGCCGTTACTGACAGATGCTCATCTTCTGAAAGCAAGAGTTAACACTGCAAAACAATCAAGCCATGTGGCAAATTATTGACTCACTCATCTGAATACAACATTTTCCACATAAAGAGAGATACAGAACATGTGCTCACAGTGGAAATGTGTTGTATGTGTCCATGTCCAGTGGGACATTAAAGGAGAACCAGTGTTTCAAATGAGAAGTAATATCTTACTGGAAGCTGTAGGGGTACAAGCGCAAAATGTGGCGCAGTGTTGTGAAGTCGTGCTGCAGCACCTGACTGGGCGTCATCCGTTTTTCAGGATCAAGCTGAAGCATTCCTTTAAGCAGCTCGATAAACACCAGCAGATCACAGATTTCTGCGGATTTACTGGTATAATTTTGATGACGTGTGAACCAGAGCTGAAACATCAAAGAAAGAAAAGTCCCCTAAAAACTCTGAATTTTAAGTTGTTTCTTTTTGGGGGTTTTGTTTAAATATTTATTCTATAAATAAAATCTATATTTAGTTTTAAACATATAAAATAGAACAGTCAAGAAGTACACCTACGTTTTTAAGGTCATCAAGAGAGGTCAACTTCATCATCCTTTTCTCGGTGAACTTAATCCCTGTCTCACTGACAAACTGCTCAGGTGTCTGAAAAGACAAGAAACTCATTAGCACCGATAAATTGTAGACTGACAAAAATTGGCAATTTTCTTGAAAAACAAGGTTAAGAAAATATTTGACATTTTTAGAGAATGGCATATGCGATTAACCAGTAATTGTAAAGGACTAAGAACCTTGAGTTTCCACGTGCTGGTGGTGAAATACAACTGCGTGTCGAAATAAAAGGCAGTCTTGAGCCCACTGTCGAGGATCTTGCCTGGAGGCTGGCCCTGAGTCTCCACTATGTACCTCATCTGGAAATACAGACCAAATGGTCAAATTCAGAGTCCAACAACTTTAATATAATGTGTTGTAATCCTTTAAATAAAGCTTTAAGTTCTTCAAAGGAGAAGCGTTAGTCATAGTTATACTTACCACCTCATATTCATTCTCACCAGGGTAGAGCATGGAGCCAAGGTACAGATTAGCAGCAATGCAGCCCAGAGACCATACATCTATGGCCTCTGTAAATGGAGCCCCGAGAATAATCTCTGGGGACCTGATTTAGGACAAACAGGAAAAACAGCAACTGTCAATTATTAACAACAAAAGTGACAACTGGAATAGTTATACAGCCAAGAAGCCCATCACAGAAACAGCAGGGGACTATCCAGTATTGACCTTTAAGAGAAAAAGCCACTTTGATTACAGCTACTAACCGGTATGAACGGGACTGAATGTAAGAGCCCATCGAGGCAGCAGAGGTGTCACATGCCAAGCTAAAGTCAATCACTTTGACCCTATATGGTTGTTTTTGATGGTTGACAAGCATCACATTTTCCAGCTTGAGGTCTGCATGTATCAAACGTACAGACTTCAAATGATCCAGCGCTTTCGCAATCTAAAAAAAACCCAAACAAAAAAAACAACCCCACACACCTTTGTATTAATGTAATCAGCATCCATCTGAAAAACGTTATTTATGTAGAGAATACAGTTAAACACACCTGCTGGGTGATGGCTCTAACTGACTTTAGAGCGAGCGGTCGGAATTGTCTTTCCTTCATGAATTCATAAAGGTTCTTGTCCAAATGCTCAAATTCGAGACATAATTTTTGCCCATCGGTAAGAACGTTGTAAAACTGAACCAAGTTATACCTTTCAGATTTGTATAACTTTAACTTTCGCAGGGCAGCCACCTGGCAACATATGAGTTTTAGCTTCAAGTAAATATTTTAGAGGAATTTCTTCAAATACAATTGTTGGATTAACTGCATCAAGCCAAGTCTTTCCTACCTCCAAGTTTGCCAGTCCATTTCTGAAGCAATCAGTCTTAACTATTTTGATGGCTACGCTCTTCAAGTCATTGAGCCTAATGAATTTTCCAACCGTGCCATAGGCTCCTTCTCCCAGGGTAGATATCATCTGGTACCGTGCAGCTCCAGTGAAGTACCAGCCTATGGGAAGTAATCGGTTGATCTGGGCAATTTTATGGGCATCTCTGGCATCATAACACCTAAAAAGAAAAAACATTATAAAGAAAAAAAATTCCTAAAAAACAAACAAACAAAAATTTAAAAAGTTATTTAAACCTTCATTTCTTACAATGTAGACAAATTTTCATAACAACAGCAGGTGATATTAGAGGAAAAAGTGAAACAATGCATTGTGATTGTAAACCGATCATCTGCTGTCATGAGCTAGTTAACCAGAAAGCAAACTAAATACTTGGCAAGTTAATGTCCTTGATTTATCTCAGTAGTTTCACCTTAAAAATTACTTTGATGAATATCGAGTGAACAAGTTCTGCATTCTGCAGTGCTTGGAGTTTTTTGGTACTGAAATGGAAAGGTTTGGTGAAGCTGTTTTTTTTAGGTCACAAGTCAGGGGTCTGACTGGACATCAATAAATAAGTCTTACAGTTAACGTTATTTTAACCTGTCACAAACACTGATTTGGTGATGTCTAAAGGTGCATTCTTGGAGAGTACAAAACTTCAAACATTAGCCATTTCAAATGAGAGAAGACAGTTTTTACCTATAAAACAAATTAGAGCCACAGAGCCGAGCTCATTTGAAACTTATGCACCTAATTACCCTCCAGTTATCTCCTGCAGAATAAAGCACTGCACAAAATCCAAAACATGGAGATCTAGTATCCATGCAACATCACAAACCACACCTTCAAAGTGTAGGGGCTCTGAATGCGAGTCTCATACGAGATACATTTCAATCCAGCATTATGTTTCATTTTATGTTCTTATTAAAAACCTTATTAATATTATAACAGGTGCATTAAGTACTGACAGCCAAATAATTTTAAGAGCTGATTTGCACATGTAAAGTTACGTTAAGGGTCACCTTACATTAAGGGTGCAGACGCATTATAAGCCTGCATGTGGCATGCATGCACTGGGTCAGGGGTGTCGAACTGCAGTCCTCAAGTCATTCTTTGTTGACAATAAACTTATTTGAATATTTATTAGGACTGCCACTAATGATTATTTTTATTATAGGTTAATCCACTTATTTTTTTCCATTGATTGAATGTTTTGCACAAGCCATAATCCAAAGTTGTAAAGGCCTTAGCAACTTTAGCTGACTAACATTTCCTTGATTACCCTATTAGATTTATTACCTTATTAGATTCACAAGAAAAACCAAGGAGCAGTAGACAATGCATCTTTTGGAGAAATTGCAATGGGATGTTGCTACTTCCAGAGTTGGTCTGTGGCTTGGTGCTAAGAAGCCAGACAGAAAATGGGTGGGAGAGAAGTTTGTTCTTATATCATAAAATGTTGAAAACAATTAAACAGGTTGATTTTGTTTTTAAAATCTGGAACATTCAAGTATGCTAAAGTGTACTTAGTATATCATTAAGGCAGACTTTAAGATTAAAGCCTACTGGTTACACTATAACTAACACTATGATATTTTAAATGGAGGTTTGTTAAAGTTGCTGCTTGTGTGATTATAGATGCAGTGAGAGTCATGTTTCCCTTGCCGCCATATGTCATGACATCTTAAAACCTTCAACCTGAAAGTAGACAGAGGACGTTCAAGAAGGTGAGCTGCTGTTCTAGTTGTTATTCTACTACTGCTTCACATAAAGAAAAGACATTTTATTAGAGGACTCAATGATACTTTATGGTCAGACCTTGTCTTTGTTAGACACGGGAAGCCAAACTAGATTAATCAATAAAGTACATCTAGCAACAGTCCAAAACAGTGGCGTTAGACGCTGCTCAACTGCAGGATGAGATCCTCTCTTTTTTCAGTGACCAAGCGAGCAAACCAACTTGTAAGTCAAACATTAGCTGGGAGGGCCTGAAGTAGCTGGGGAGCAGTGACCACACTGAACCTAGGTATTTAATGAATGCATCAGTAAAAGCAAACATGCTATAAGGAATAAGGAATATCTAACTTTTATTGGGGAGGCTGCCGCTCAGGAGAAGCAGTTCATCCTCTAAAGGGAATATTGGTGGTCCGATTCTTGGCTGCTCCAGTCTGCACACCAAAGTGTTTTCGGTAGAACGCAGTTAAGCTTATATAAGAAACAGTCCATTTACCATTTCTAGAGCTATCTACACTTTGGTCAGATACATTTTTAGAAATTTCTGTTTAATTCTGGAAGGATGACAGATTTTATACAAATATTGATAAGATGAGTTACTACTAACGAATCCAAAATAGATCCGGTCCAGATGGGGCTGAATATGTGATCCTTATCTGTTCTGCGTCCATCCTGCTGTGCAAGGGGACTGCAATCTGGACCTGGTTTGCAGATCCACTACAGAGCCTATGATATCTCTAGGTTGGATCTGAGCCAGGGTCATTTTGCTATTTAAAAGTAGCCTAAACCCAGGATTGAGAAGGTCTTGAACCCTAATGTGTCGTGGGTGGAGTTTCGGCAATCTAAATCAGAGTGAAAGCAGAAAGTGGCCACTAACATCTGACTGCAAACCATAAGTAGGAGTAAAGTAAAGCTGCTGTGCAGTAAGTACCATAATGGAAAACATAACACATCTTCAAACTGATTCAGATCCTGCTTTGGTTAGTATGAAGGTGTTAAGAGTTAAATACTTGTCTCCTAATTGGGTCCTGACTTGTCAAGTTTAAAATCTGACAAGTCGACATTTTATTCTTTTTTCTGCAAAAAACAAAACAAAACTCAAATAAAGTGGAATATCTATTGTTTTGCTATTAACACAATGAGTTTTTTGTATGTATACATATAACATATATCCTTGAGAAAAATAGAGAGGCTCATTATACAGTAACATATAATCAACAAGAGTTCATGTTATAAAGGCATTTAAAGAAAGAGTAATCTGACCTTTCAGATCTAGACCATTGCAGCTCAGACCAGCTCGAGTCAGTCTAACTTTAGCACCCCTAAATGTGGGTCACTAGTGGTCAAGTTGCTGACTGTGTTAGTCTATCTGTAACCCCTACACACTTAAATAAGTGTGTGTGTCTGTGCGTTTGTATGTGTGTGTGTGTGTAAGCTTTCCAGGATCACTGAGATTATGGAGGCTTCCACACCATGAAGGGCTTATTCATATTTCCTCATTACTGTGTCTCTACCTGATTTGTGGCTTCTATTTATACCCATCACAGTTATGAGTAACACACTCAGACATTGTGTGTTCCTGCTTTTGGAATTGATTTGTTGCTGAAATATGAATGCTAAGAATAAGATTCCAGGTAGAAGGTTTGTATTGAGTGGATAGGGATTTATGAAACCTGTAACTTTTCGTTCTTCGTGATAACCAGAATACTTTTTATGCTTTAACTCTGAATAACTCTGAGTTCCACTTTTTCCTGGAGTAATCTACAGAGTAATAATCTACTATGAGGGGAATTAAGTCCATTGTAAAATGTTGATGAAAGAGATCTTTTGATCAACGTAACATAACCTAACAGTTAAACATATGCTCTTGAAGTTCTCGATATGTTACTGCATATGATCTGGGTGGTGAGTTCACTCACTTTACATTGTGTCAAGTGTATTTGTTTCTTGGCATATATTTATATTTGTCACAGTCTCTGCTGCGCTCAAGGCCAGGTTTATATATAAAAATCAATATATATCACAAGTATACACAAATATAGTACTTTGGAATATAAAGTTACATTTTTGCTTATTAGGTCAAAAGTGCAGTCGTGCTTTTCTGTTTGTTTGTTTTTTCATCTTTGGCAACAAAAACTCTGCAACTATAAGTTGACTAGCCAATCACAATGAAATAAGTCACGCTTTACACTGAAACAGTATCACTTTCAGAGTTTTGTAGCTATTTATTGACCACCACCAGTCATAAAAGTGATTCCAGAGATGTCAATAAATACAGCCTTCTTTTTATTTCCTTTTAATTTTGTGCAAAGACAGCATAAACTATTCCTGACCTGACCTAAAAACATTAGTATTTTTTACCTGCGTCAGGAAAGAGGAGGAAGAGTAGAAGTATTATTAGTTATTACCAGCCAGCCTGGCATGTTTCCAGCCTCTTTTTTTCTTTCTCGCAAGTATAGTTTCACTTTAGTTTGACTTTAAAACAATATGTCCACCAAAACAACCAATCTGTTTAAGGAGTTACTACCTGATGCCCAGGTGCTGCCCATTTCCTTCTTTTACTTATTAACAGTTGACTTGCTTCTGATATTTTTCCAACTTGTTTGAACATAAAATCATTCAGCTGCTACTGAAAAACCACAATTCCCACACCCTAATTTTCCAGGAGTAAGTCATTTCAATTCACTTAATATCTCTGATGTTGCTTTGTCAATTTCTATTACTTATAATAGCAATAACATTCTGAATTTTTAATGCAGGATAAGAACTTTAGAGTTTATCATAATGCAGAGACCTACTCGTCTCTGCATTATAAGTACTTACTTTGATATTGTATGCCCCTCTGTTAGGAAAGTATGGGGAGTAGGACTGTTAAGAAAATGGGGGGACTGTCATGATCCCTGCATTTTGAACGCTGTGTTTGACATTGTGAGCTAATGTTTCCTTTGTATTTTTAAAAGGACAAAATATTTCAAAAGTAAAGTTTTGTTTCTTTTGTAATATTGCTTCCCTTAGATATATTTAGTTCATCATTTTCAACTAAGTATTGGTCCCTTTATAGTTAATATATAGTGTACTATTTGTTGAATGGCTGCTTTCATTTAATTCCCTGTGTTTACATGTTTAAAAGCTTTGTCTATTTTCTGTGTCTCTTTTCGATTATCTTCTTAAGACTTATTGTATTCCTCTGAGTCTTTGGTTCTTCTTAGTTGCAGTTACTGTTTACACTGGGTTAGTACCCTGTTGTGTTCCTTGGTGTCCTAATCTGCATTGCCCTTCATCTTTATGTTTTCTTCTGTCTAGTCTTTCTCTCCACCCTTATGCCAAGTTAACCTTTGCTTCCATTCAGTTGTGTCTTTCTGTTTTATTTTCTGTTGTTCTCTGTGTCTTATGTTTTGTCTACTTCCCCAGTCTGATAATGTCTATAGTAACAACATTTTTGTA